GAGAGAGAGAGAGAGAGAGAGAGAGAGAGAGAGAGAGAGAGAGAGAGAGAGAGAGAGAGAGAGAGAGAGAACCACCCAGTCATCATATCCTGTCGTGTGTGATTGTGTGGATTGTGTTTGATTGCAGATTCGGACGAAAGCTTCCAATGTGTATATATCAGGTGATATGCAGCGTCCCTCTCATCGTCATATTCTTCATTCCACTATTATCAGGTGAGACCCGACATTACGGTGACACGTCACAGCAATTAATACCAGGGGTTAATAATGACAAATTTCGGCAAATATTGTTATTATTAACCGCTGGTAATACTAAAAGAAAACGTTAATAAATCATTAAAAACATTAAAATAGAAACTCTAATTTAAGACACTTCCGGCCCGTTGTCAGAAACAAAATTAGTCTTAACGTTTATTACGTTTTTGCCGTACACCGTGGTGACAGAAACGTGGCGAAGTTACGTGTTTCTTATGCGTGATGTATAGAGGTCCGGTCTACGAGAAAAGAAGTTGGCGTGAATATTATTATTAAGATTAAGTGATGTTTCTGACAACGACCCCGGACATCACTACAATGTGCACGCACGCACGCACGCACGCACGCATGCACGCGCACGCACGCACGCACACACACACGCACGCACGCATACACGCGCGCACACACACAGGCACGCACGCACACACACACTCATGCGCCCGCGCACGCGTACGCGCACACGCACACGCTCGCGCGCGCGTAATAATATAATGCACCAATTATGTACTTGTACGGGGTATAGTATTGGTATTGTCGTTCGTGCAAATCAAATAAAAAAATTCGAAACTGAAAACAATAATTTTGTTGTTGTTGCAGCTTCGGGAAGCGACCTTACCATACCGATCGTGACCTTGACAATGATTGCAAAGTTTGGTGTCACTGCCGTATTTAGTGGTCTACATCTAATTACAGCCGAAATTTACCCAACCGTTGTCAGGTAGCAATCTATAATTACTAATTACTAATTACTGATAGTTTACTAATTATTAATAGTTACTAATTACACGATGTTCAATATAATTCAATTCATAAATTTATATTTAACATTCAGCGCATTCATTTAAAGGTACATTGATGTTGTAACAATCTTTACTCTTATTACACTTCTATACAATTATTTTTGTGGGTTTCTCTCTTCCACAGAAATGCAGGTTTGGGGGTTTCATCGGTCTGTGCGAGGCTGGCCGCCACCCTGTCACCATTTTTCGTGCATTTGGTAAGGCGACCCGATTCTAATTCTCACATTTCAATAAATGGTTTGACAATTATTTTATAACACGCGCACGGATGGCATGCGGTGTGTAATGTATATAGAGAGAGATCAATATTTATCGATTACCATATCGGTTATCAAAGCTTTTAGTCATGAGTTTGTAATAATATTTATATAGTTTAATCTGTCCGCGAGAACGTGTGTGCGTGTCTGTCTGCGCGCGTGTGCAGATGAGCGAGCGCGCGTGTGTGTCTGTGTGCGCGCGTGAGAATGTGAGTGTGCGTGCGTGTCTGTGTGCGTGCGTGTGCATGCGAGCGCGCGTGCGTTTGTGTCTGTGTGCGCGCGTGTACCTGTGAGCGTGCGTGTGTGTCTGTGTGCGCGCGTGTGCATGCGAGCGTGCGTGCGAGTCTGTGTTCGCGCGTGAGAATGTGAGCGTGCGTGCGTGTCTGTGTGCGCGTGTGTGCATGCGAGCGTGTGTGCGTGTCTGTATGCGCGCGTGTACAAGTGAGCGAGCGTGCGTGCGTGTCTGTGTGCGCGCGTGTACATGTGTGCGTGCGTGCGTGTCTGTGTGCGCGCGTGTACATGTGAGCGAGCGCGCGTGTGTGTCTGTGTTCGCGCGTGAGAAAGTGAGCGTGCGTGCGTGTCTGTGTGCGCGCGTGTGCATGCGAGCGTGCGTGCGTGTCTGTGTTCGCACGTGAGAATGTGAGCGTACGTGTGTGTCTGTGTGCGCGCGTGTACATGTGTGCGTGCGTGCGTGTCTGTGTGCGCGCATGTACATGTGAGCGAGCGTGCGTGTGTGTCTGTGTTCGCGCGTGAGAATGTGAGCGTGCGTGCGTGTCTGTGTGCGCGTGTGTGCATGCGAGCGTGCGTGCGTGTCTGTGTTTGCGTGTGTGCATGCGAGCGTGCGTGCACGTCTCTGTGTTAGCGCGTGAGAATGAGAGCGTGCGTGCGTGTCTGTGTGCGCGCGTGTACATGTGAGCGTGCGTGCGTGTCTGTGTGCGCGCGTGTACATGTGAGCGTGCGTGCGTGTCTGTGTGCGCGCGTGAGAATGAGAGCGTGCGTGCGTGTCTGTGTGCGCGTGTGTACATGTGAGCGTGCGTGCGTGCCTGTGTGCGCGCGTGAGAATATGAGCGTGCGTGCGTGCCTGTGTGCGCGCGTGTACATGTGAGCGTGCGTGCGTGTCTGTGGAGATAGACCTCAATAAAATCTTCTTTTCTCTCCGCTAGAGGCGGCAATGGCGGCAGCGCGTGCTACCCGCGTAACAGCTAAACTTCTTTCTCGCGAATGGCGGCAGCGGTGAGTGCGGACGTACATGACGTGCAAACACCCGACATCAAATTCTTCCTTTTCTCTCCACTAGATGGCGGCAGTGTGCAGCCCAACAGCCAGCGTGTACACGACGTACAAACACCCGACATCATCAAAATCTTTCTTTTTTCCGCTAGATGGCGGCAGCGTGCAGCCTGGCAGCGAGCGTGTACACAACGTACAAACAGCTGACATCATCAAAATCTTCCTTTTCTCTCCGCTAGATGGAGGCAGCGTGCAGCCTGACGATGAGCGTATACAGCGTGAGAAACTAGCGGTCGCGACCAGGCATCGCCAGTGGCGATTAGAAAATCTACCGGGCGACTGCTTGCTTGTGTCAGCTGGTCCGGCAGGGCGACTAGATAATAATAGATTTCTTAACACTGATAGTCTGATACTGGGTGCGGAGGTGGCTGAATGCTGATGAATGATATTAGAGTCAATGCATCAAAATGATGAAAATTTTAACAAAATCATGGTATGAAAAAGTAGCTCGGGCCAAGCATAAAATAGCTCCTGTAAAAAAAATTACGAGAGCTCTTTTTTCATACAATATCAAAAAAGAGCTCTCGTAAAAAAGAGTAATTTTTAGGCTGCCGCACACGAAATAAAAAATTTACCAAACTGATTAATTTGTTATTCTCTACTAACCTTCTACATTATTCTAATGAAATGAATGGTAAATTTAATCCAATTTAGACTAAAAATAGTCAAATTCCGAAAGCCTAAAGTCCATGCAAAGTAACACAAATCTCTCCAATGGTGTTCGATTTTTCTAGGTCATGCTGTTAAACCTCTGCTAATTCGATAATACTGGGCATCCCGGACTAATCAGCAATCGCGTAATAAAATATGATATAATTTAAATAGGAATATATGGCCGGTCTTCAGAGACCGCTGATCGTTGAAATTGACTGAGGACTTGTTCCGATTTCCTACGCATCTGTGTTACTGTAATCAAACGAGTAAAAAATATAATTTTTAAGATTACCTTAGAATGCAGCATCACAAAATTGCACCGCAATCCCCCCAATATAAAACGTTCCCACATCCGGAGTCATTCACTTTGCTACGAACAAAAATCCTGGACCAGTGCCTACTGACCAGGAACCAGTGCTCCTCAGCAGGCAGGACCAGTACCTCCAATTATCAGTTTTTCACCCTGGTGTACCCGACATCATCAAAATCTTCCTTTTCTCTCCGCTAGATGGCGGCAGCGTGCAGCCCAGCAGCCAGCATGTACACGACGTACAAACACCCGACATAAAAAATCGTCCTTTTCTCTCCGCTAGATGGCGGCAGCGTGCAGCCTGGCGGCGAGCGTGTACACTACGTACAGCGTGAGCGCGCTGGGTGCGTTTGGGAGGTGGACGTTCGACCCTGCGCTCCTGCTAGGTCTCGCCGGCTTCCTCACGTCTCTTAGTCGGCTGGCATCGCCGTGGTCGCCGGCGTGCAGACGCAACGTGGGCATGCTGCGCACGGTAAGATACACGTGTGTGTGTGTGTGCGTGTGTGCGTGCGTGCGTGTGTGTGTGTTGCGTGTGTGTGTGTGTGGTGTCGTGTGTGTGCGTTGTGTGTGTGTGTCGTGTGTTGTATGTGTGTGTAGGGTGTGTTTGTGTGTGTGTGTGTGCTGTGTGTGATGTGTGTGTAGGGTGTGTGTGTGTGCGTGTCTGTGTGTGTAGGGGGTGTGTGTGTGTGTGTCTGTGTCTGTCTGTGTGTGTGTGTGGTGTGTGTGGTGT